AAAACACCTGTCCTAATATTGGAAGTATGTAAGAACTAACATCATTATTAACTAATTAATTTATTAATGAATTTATTTGTACCAAGCCACTAACATTACTTATTTTATTGTAGTTCAATTATTTTTAGTTTTAAATCATACTTAGTAGACGATGTCGAAATATTACTTTGAGTTAAACAACCTAGACATAACATGAAAATAGGAGCCAAACCCATGAACTATATCCCTTCATCATGAATTATTTTGAGTTACACATTAAATAATAATTAAAATAGTGATTTTGGAACATTAATCTTGAGAATTATCTTATGGAAAAAAAAACTTCTGAATTATCATTTTAATTTACCTTATTAATATTCTTATATGCTATGTTCTATATGGTACTTAAAATCCTACAATTTTACGATTCGATTATACGATTTTGATTTTACCCCAGTTTTCCATTTTAGGTAAAATCTCGATTTTAACTGCTTTGCCCATTGCAGCCTCTCCAAATCTTCCTATTCTACTCACCGGGTCATCTCCTCCACTACAAAATATCTCCTCATGTACTCAAAGTTCTCACTGAAACCTAATATCTACAATTGTAGCGACCCCCACTATTTTGATAGCTAATCAAGAAGAGCACATTTGTTTAGTTGTATGGTGATTCACTTAATTAACAATTTTTATTCCGTTGACAGCCTCCTCTCTGCAATTGTATTGTGTTCACGAAGATCTGAAGGCGCAAGTGCAACAGGTCCAGGGGTAAACAATATGTATAAAGCGTTGGCCAAATTGAATTGAGTCATTCTACTTGGAATATGAAGATTTTTGCTTAATTGCTTTGGTTCGTGATGCAACTATGTTATGTTTGAAGGTAGACCAACGCAAACAACAGCACAGCTCCAGGGCTATTCTGCACATTAGGTAGTTGGGGCATTAATTGATAATTATTTGGGATTATTCCTACAAGTACATAATTTGGAACGTGCCTTTATATTGCATTGATTAATAGTTGTTTGAGATTTTTCAAATGAGTGATTTGACATGTTAAACTCTCTTATTTTTGAAAATGGAGTCTTCGAAGTGGAATATGAAGATTTTGGATTAAGCTTGGTTTCGTAACGCCCTTATGGGTGTTTATTCTCTAAAATGCAGCTGTCTTTCAAAGTGCCCGTTGCAAATGGCAAGTCAGGATACAACGATGGTACCGGTACACGTTTATATCATTAGTAGGTAGCAGATTGTGTCCATTCTACTATATCATTTAGCTAAATACTTAGTTGTTCTTTTCAACTAAAAATTATGCTTAAATGATGTGATTGGCCTCAGAAATGTATGTCTTTGCATTAACTGTTAATGATTGTGAGTTTTGGTTTAATGGTGAAAAGTCCATTTATTTAGAAGTCTAAATTGGGAAAACCTATTGGACAATAGGAATGCCATACATTAGTGTCGTGGGAGGTTTGTTTGATGTCTCAGGGTGTTAGATTTTTAAGAAGGTTGTTTGTTGTGGCAGAGAGTCCCTAAAGCTAGCGAGGTATTCCTATGTGGGCTTTTTCTTTGTTTGACCTTTTCTCGCCTTTTTTCTTATCTCATTTTCTATTTTTGGTTTTTGTGTGCTACCTTCAGTTGCTACGTCTTCATTTGTGAGCCATCTATACTTTTTTTATTCAGTGCCTAAAAATCATATATACTCGATTGCATAGTAGTTACTAATAGATACATTTATACCAATAGAGAGATTTTAAGTTTTATCAGTTGTTAGTTTTAATATTTACTTACATTGGTTGTTTATGTAGTTTTCTTTGTAATATTTCTCATTATACAACTAATTACTATGGCTACGTAGTTGTATAAGTGGGGGTTGGACATGATAGTTCTTAGAAGCATCAATACTTGAAGATTATTATAATGACCAAATTCTAAAGTTATGGTTTGCCTTCAACTTGCTTGGAGCATTTCAATTATGCATCAATTGTTCTCTCCGTGTAGTTAACTCTCAGACAAATCGAAAATCTTGCTGATATGTGCTTGATTGTAGTTAAATTTAGGGTTCTACTGCATTGTTGCTTTACTCTTTTTTCGTGGTTGAGTCTGCTTCAAAAAATTTAGTTTGATTTTAGAAAATTTTGCTTCTGCAGTCCTGTCTTGCCACCAACGCGTTCAATAGATGGAGACGGGAGAGGCGAAGGCTATTTTTGTGTTGTTGTTGCTAGTTTAGGGATCGATTTGTGAAGAAGAGGGAGAAGAGAGGGGGAAAGGGAAATGCAGGAGAGGGGGATAACTCTTTTCTCCGACAAAAATGGAGTGAAGAAAGGAATTATGATCAGTAAGAATATGGTTATCTTACATAACGGTCTCTATTCTGTTTGAATTGAGCTTGAGAGGCAGTGATAAGGACGAGCTGCAACCAATTCATAGTGAGAAGAGAGCTATGAACTGTGGTCATGTCTTATTTCAAGTTAGAAGGTAGTTTCAGTATAAGGATTATTTAATTTGACAAGTTGTTTCGTCCATGATTCTTGGTAGTTTTAGTGCCATTCTAGCCAATGTTTAGTCTGTAATTTTTGAGAATTGATGTGCGAGTAATGACTTTCACTTAGCTTCAACTATTATGTGTGTATTTATTGGCATGTGATATAATTCTCTTTTCCTTTTCATTGAATTCATTTTCATACTCTAATTGTATTATTTGTACATAGGCAAATCATGCTCGAGGTGGCAACTCGCTGATATGGCTGGTGCAAGGAAGCCATCATTAGAATTCAGACCGACAACGGGGAGGGATGCCCAGGACTAATTCAATGATGATTGATGATGGTATAATAAAAACTGCAGTCTGCATCAGCACCAATTTCTAGGCCTAAGTAAAGGTATTCAACCCAGAACTCTGCTTAGCGCTAAAAATTGTCATCACCCAACCTTGATCCTGTTTGACCCACTTCTGAAGAGTCAAGATATATGACTAATCCTCTCCGTTCGTATTTTCTTATTGACTCTTTCTGACCCTGTAGGTTGGGGCGGGTCGGGAAGAATTGGATTAGTGGGTCGGTCCTAATCAAGTGGAATCTCAATCCCTTCACTCTCACTTGCTTTCTCTCCCATTCCACAAGTGGGTAACATACAGTAATCCGGCCAACGGGCCGGGTAATAAGCTAGTACTCTAATTATATTAGTTTGTCAGTGGCCAGTGGGTCACGGACTTTGAGCCCAACACATTTTGGATCACATGGCTTAAATGGATGGTTCCTCTTTGCTTCCGACCATGTGTATTGTAGTGCAGTGTGCCACAAGAACAGGGCTTTTTGTTTTGTGCCTTTCTCGACATATGGGCTCATGGCCTAGATCCAGAAAATAGAACAATATAACGTGGGAGAGTCAATTACATAAAATGGTCACTCAATTTTAGTTCTCCTACAAAGATAGACAACGAACTTTAGTTTGTACCAAACAAGTCCTTTAGCTTCGTACTAAGGAAAGATATCATAATTTTCATTTCCGTCCATCTCCATCTGAATCGTACAGATCATCATGCCACCCTGACCGATAATAATACTAAATTTTGTATACGCTCAACTTGATCCTGAGGTTAAGTGCCAGTTTCATTATCACACTACAATCGTATTACTAATGGACTCGAATTTAAAATGATTTTTTTTTTCGTGCGATTAACTCGTCAGATGTGTAAAATGCAGATTCCCATATGGTGGGGGAGGATAGCCAGAGATGCTGGTTTCTTTCTCCAACAAGATCGGCCAGGTATGTGCAACAGCTGAACGTGCAGAGTTGTAAAGCCATAATATCCTAATTTGTAGTTAATTAATTTGTGTATGTTTATATATATAACACCAAGAATATGGTTTTATGGTTGGTTGCCTTATTTAGTTGGGTGTCTCATACTTTTGGGCTGGCTGTCTTCTTTTGACTATTCTTCTATTTCTTCCCTTAATAAAAAAAAACAAGCACATGCATCTTTCAAGCTTTGTTTTCTCCCTTTCATTTTTTGCTAATTTTCAATAGGAAGGAAATAACTTCATATTTAGGAATCTATTTGGCACACTTAACAAGAGTTGAGCTGAGAGATACACATCAACATTCACAAGCTTTGAAACACCCTCCTATAATGGTGTTGTGAGAACGAACTCACATTCTTATCCGAAAGAATCGATCACCAACGAAATATAAAAAATATGGTTTCGATTTATTATACTTGACTTAAACAACCAAGAACCTACTACAAAAGTCGAAAATGATCTAATACCTCTCATCTCTCATACTCCTCCAACACCGCTTAAAAAGGTCAGAGAGGAACAAATGTAAATTTTTTTACTACAACGAAATCTAGGTCGAAGATTTTCCTTCCAACGGGATAAAAGAAGGAAAAAGGAAGTAGGCAGCCGACCACCAACACGTAGAATACGCTATTAAGCACGCATCTTTCCTCCAGCTGCTGGGATTAGCCTGGCTCTGGCTGGCTAGCGGGCAGTGTGGCTCCCCCCATCCTCTGCCCTTAAACCATAATTAAACAACTAATCACCCTACTAATTAATCAACAGTAACCATTAATCATCCATCATGTGATGTTAATCCCAAGATCATCACGAAGAACTTACATTAGCTATACTCATTCGAACAATCAGCCGGACAGTAATCAAGCGCGAATTCGAGCTTTTCGACGTAATTCAACGAGTAATGTATGCTGCCATGGCAGAGATAACAAGGAGTCCCATGTACTTATATTAACAATGAACGAACAGAGTTAACAACACCAACACCTAATTAAGGCCAGAACAGAGAAACAGAGCCCTACTGTCTACACCTGACATTTATGCAATTTTTCCCCTCTACAAAAGATCATGGACCGGATTAGCAACGAAGAGAGAAAACAAGCACCAAACTGTAACTTTCCTCTCTTTTTTTTCTCCTTTTTTTACATTTCCTTCTAAATTAGATTCCCACATTTGATTTGATTCCAGCTGGCCGGAGACGGCAGATCTCGATCTTCCTTCCGCCTTTCATCTGCTTCCGGAGTAAGACGCCAGATCGTCCCTGCTCATACTCCGCGCGAGGGCCTGCAACGACGGCGACGGAGGAAGGCCGTGCCCGGCGGCGTGAGGAGACGAATTGGACGAACACGAAGGGGACGATCCGGATCCAGCACCGGACGTCGCCGCCGCCGCCAGGGCAAGAGAACCCTCGCTCCAGGAGCGGCGGATCTTATACGAGACGGTGTTCTTGCAGTTCCCGCAACCTCCGCCTCCGCCGCCGTCGCGGGATTTTTCGTGGAGCGCGCACTTGCAGTTGCGGTGGTACGGCCGCCGCTCGATCCCGTAGTCGGCGCCCGACAGCGAGCCTTCGAAGACCCAATTCCTGAAGAACCCGTCCGCCGCGGCCGATCCGGAAGCCATTGCAGCAGGCTGTTGTGGTTTTCTTCTTCCTCTTTTCCTCTTTCTCCGACGGAGAAAGGGAGATCGGAGATGGAAAACAGAGGAGATAGAGAGTAGTGTTTGTTTTGATTTGGAGGTTTTCGATTTCTTGGGGTTTTTAATAACAGGGACTGATTATATATAGTGGAAAAGGAGGCTACACATTACAGTCATGATCACTCTTTTTGTTGGTAGTAACGAATTAGTCATCAGACTTTAGTATTGGTACAAAGGAGTCAAAATACAGCTCATTAAGGCTTTGTATTTTGAGTTTGTTTTTCAATCAACTACAATAATGGTATTTTACAACAACTCTATTGTTCTACTTACTATATAAGGCTTGAATTTGTTACCACACAAAGCGCTAACAAAAATAGAATGTCCTTTTCTTAACATCGAGCTCAATTTGATTTAATTCATTTAAATGAACTTCAGTTACATACGTAGTAAAGTAATAATCTTACGATCTCAATTGAAGTTGATTGTTAATTTTTGTTATCATGCTGTATTTAAAAAAAATAGAATGTATTATGGTTCACTGAATCAATTCTTTTCTACTTTTGTTGTGAGATCGAATCTGAATGAATCGAAATTACTTAACTTGGTCAATATTCGGTCTTATGAGATATCTCATGAACGAGGTTAGTGTAAACTTATGATTGGATGGAGTGAAATTAAGCTGAGGGTTATAATGTTCAATATTTGATATTTAAGTGATGGGTTCGATTATCACTACGGAAGTCGAGCACCAAAGGTGCAATTGACCATACGAAAGGGAGCCGGGGAGTAAGAGGACAAAAGTAGAAGACGAGTTTAAGTTGGGGAGTAAAAAAGGTTTGGGAAGAGAGTGTTGGTTGGGAGGATTTTAGGGGAGACGAGGAAGAGACGTGTGAGAAATTGATGGCTCCCCTTCTTTTCCTCTGCCTCAACCTTTGATTTGTTGGAGAAAGTAAAACAAAAAATAAATAAATAATGTCAAAACCACTATTTTGCATATTGGGTTGATTGTCTCGTTCTTTAATTTCGTACTAAAAAGTAATCGTCGATAAAATATTAATGAAGCTGCGGAATGGTGATTGGTCGTCAAATTCCCTATATCACGCTACGGCTATGCGCACGAGTTGGATCTCATGGCGATCTCATTTGTCGTTTATTAATTCGTCGCCATCCAGTTCGGAAGAGATCGATCCGAGTCCGATGATTCTTTCTGTTGCTCTTTTTCCCTCGCTCTCAAACGGAAGCCAACCAAAAAAAATGAAAAGTTTGCAACGACGCACTATACTTTGTAAGTCGATCGTTGAGATTGAGATCATTAGTGGGGATATCCAACCTGGTGCATTTGATAACCAGAGGAAATTCAACTATTTGGTAGTATCATTGTTCTCGTTTATAAAGGAATTTCTTAATGGTACATAATGAGTTCGTACATTTAACTTTATAGTACAAATTTAACTTGTACACGTACATTTTCGTATAAAAATCTTTTTCTGGTATAAGCTAGGTTTGTAACTTTGACATTATGGTACAGATTCAACTTGTACCTGTACATATTCGCACATAAACCTTTACGACACAAACTAAACTTGTACATTTAATATTAAATGATACAAATTCCACTCATAACTATACATTTTCGTACAAAAAATTTTGGTGAGAAAACTGTTCACTACATATGCTGCTAGTACCATACGTTACATTATTGGAAAGTAGACACGTTGATGATATACAAAGGTAACGCCAAAAGAGGTTTTAGTAGTGTAAGTAGAGTCTTTTGTTTGGTTGGTTTTGGGGGTGGGAAATGGGAACAGGGGACTGCACCTCGGTTGTTGCCATTTTCAGGCTCTCCCTCTCAACGTGTGTGGTTCCCTTCTCTGCTTCCTTTAGCTACCTTGCCGTTACTTAGCCCTCTCTCTCCACTGGCTTTTGGTCATGGCATCCAATCAAGATTGTCAACCCGCGGGTCAATCCACTTTGATACTGATCCAATGAGAAAAAGGGCCGCACACACCCGCTTGGTCGACTGCTACAAGGTACCGGGTTGGAGGTCAAATTGTGTCATTTTCTTTTTTGGTTTACGAAATGCGTCTATTTACTGATTTTTCTTTTCGCCTAACTCAATCTTTGGAATTCTTAGTTGAACATTTGAATATTGATGTTATATAAGTGTGTGTGAATTTTCACTATATGTTGGATCTAAGTATGACATGTTACTTTGGTGTAATGGTATATGTTATTACTCATATGTTAGATAACATTTGATATAATTTATCAGGATAAGTACAATATAATGACTATTTTCATATTTCCGGGCTAAAATGGGTGACCCATTAACTCTTGACCCACTAGCTCAACTGAGTCCGGGTCAACCCGCGGGTTGACAACCTTCCTTCCAACAAACCTCCACCACTCCAAAATGAAAAGAAAAAACTCATTAAAGAGGTACAGAAACGGTTCACAAATGGCGAGCTATAGACGGTTCAACTAAGAAAAAACTAGGTGTAGAGAAGGGTTCTACAACTGGCGGCTGGCTGTACGTAGTTGGTTCAGCTACAAAAGTAGAGGCTGCTTTCTTCGGCCTCCAACGCACGCAAGAACCTCTCTTTTATCAGAAGTTGAAGTGTGAGAGTTTTATGGTATTTGTGTCGAGAACCGGTTGGATTCAATTAATAACTCGAATTATTTGGAGGTGTAAACAATTTGAATTATACCATCTCTTAGATCCATTTCTCTACACCCACCCTCATTCATAGGGGTGGAGTTTGGTTCGATTCGTTTATAACCGAAAACCGAGTGATCGGTTATCGGTTAACCGAACCACCAACTCCCCCTACTGAACATCGACTGACATATTATCATCGGTTAATCGAAAACCAACCGGTCGGTTACCGGTTAGTTGGTCGATTACCAAGGTGATCGACAATTCCTTTATTACCAAGTTATTTAATCAATTAATTAATTTTGTCACCAACAGCAACCGTCCGAAACTGGCGATCGGACCTGCAACTTCAGACCACGCGTCCCCGTCCGAACTCTGACATCATACCAGCTAGTTCCCAACGAATTCCGACGCCGGTCCGCACAACTCCCTCCAAACTCCGTCATTAGACTGCTCCTGCCCCCTCAAACTCCGGCTTTGGACCAGCTTCTGCCGTTGATAAAAAAAATTGCCATTGATGTCGGAGTACGGATCGAGAGCGAGACGCGAGGTCAATTTCCCCATTGATGCCGAGAAAAAAGTGAAAGGGAAACATCAACGAGATTTTTGCTAGAAAATTGAGGAAGGTGTATCATTGTGTAACAGATTGGGAGACAGCTGGACGAGTGACGTGTACAGAAAGACACAAGTATAAATAGGAGAGACGTTTTACAATTGGGCATCTTGTGTCAAACAACTAATTGTACCTACTTTACCAAATTAGTTAGTTAGAAATAAAATTGAAACTCTCTTTCGCTCCATTCTTATCCTCCTCTTCTTCTTCCTTTCGCCCAAATTCGCCAGATTCTCCATTCAAGATCCTTACAAGTGGTATCAGAGACCTGAACTCCGGCAATGGCGTCGCACACTCCTCGGATTGTTGATTTAGAAACTCAGATGGCGGAGGTTCGTGTGCAGATCAGTACGCAGCATCAGGATCTTAAGGAAGCTATTGTTGTGTTAGCTGCGTCAACGAAAGACTATATCGATGCATTGGCGGCTTCCATCGCTCGCAGGCGGGAGAAGTCACCGGTTCAGTTGTCACCGCGCGCCGATGCTGGGACTTTCGGCGAGCCTCAGCATTTCCATCACCAGCAACGCCGTTCATCGATTCTTGATCATTACCCCCGTCTCGAGTTCTCTTACTTCTCCGGCACCGATCCACATGATTGGGTTAGCAAATGCATCAAGTTGTTCCAGCTATACTCGATTCTCGAAGAACACAAAGTGGACTTAGTCTCTTATTATCTGGAAGACAGGGCTTATACGTGGTTCGAAGGCTGGTCTTTCCGACGTTTTCCATTGATTTGGGGGCATTTCATCGACGAATTGTTCCATCGATTTGATAATCAGGAGCAGATGAACGTGGTAGACTCTTTCAATCACCTTCGCCAAACAAGCTCTGTTTCTCGCTATCAAGAAGAGTTCGAAGAATTGCGCTCGGGGGATGCTTCGTCTTAATCCGGAGTTGAACGAGCATTACTTCATCCTCAATTTCTTGGGGGGGTTGGATGACGAAATTCAACCCCTGGTGCAGGTCCTGAATCCGCCTACGCTGGCTTGTGCGTTCTACCAAGCGCGACTGGAGGAGTCGGGTATTGATGCTCGCAAAAGGAAGTCTAGAGAGTCTTCATCTTCGTCCACTCGCTAGGCGGGTGCTTCTGCTTCGGTTTCTGCAAAACTTCCGTCCCCGTCCTTCTGTTTCTTCCTTCGAGTGCCCCCTGTTCCTCGAGGACAAGCCCTTTGTTATAAATGCGGCGATAAATACTTCCATGGCCATGTCTGTGCAAGAAAGAAGCAGCTCCAGGTTATGCAGGCTGAGGAGTCTCCTTCATTGGGTGATGAGGCGGGGATGGAGGACAAATTTCAGGATGCAGAGCTTGAGGTTTCTCTGCAGATGATGACTCGATATTTGCACATGTTTTCCCCCTTTGTTTCTTGATCGTTTAAGCTTGCATTATCGCTTCTTTGGCCTATTTTATGCTAGGTTGTGTTCCTTTGTTACATTTCAGGTCCTAGCACATAAAGTGAAGCATAGGCGCAAGTTTCAAGTCAATCAGAGATCAATTGGCGATTCGGGAGAAGAAACTCTGGAATGACCTGAAGAAGAATGGATTTTTACCTCCCTTTATGGACGAAGAATCGTGCAAGTCTGTCATGAAAAGAAAGAGGACGAGACTACGAGCGTCTGGGATCAAACGGTGACTGATTCGGAGTCCGGACGAGGGAGAAACGAAGCATTGAATATAGGGGAACAGGTTCGGCAATGAAAACACGGGCAGGAGGC